GTATAAAATGGCAGCTGGGAAATTTAGTGTTCCAAGGGCAACTTTAAAATACAAGGTTGAAGTCAAACATTCAGTTAAAAGAAAAATGGGCCCAGCTAGAGTATTGACTGATGCAGAAGAAAATGCAATAAAAAAACTGATATGAGGATACTTCCGATATGAGGAGTGTTCGAACTCTTCATATTATATTTATTATTAACTCTTCATGTTAACCCTTAATTATTAAATATTTTTTTGTAAACTTACTCAAGAATAATCTTTTTTAAATGTTCAAAAAAAATCTGTATTCACACATTATCAAGACTAGATTAATTGGATTTTTTTCATTAATTGGATTTTCGCCCTATGTCAACTGCTGAAACAAAAAGATGTCAACTACTAAATTTTCTGCTTTTGCTGGGTGTTAACTATTGAATCAAATTTTACGTTTAGAAAAAGAAAGAAAAAATTGTACAACCGCCATCAGGAATAAATACACGTAATGTAATAGAAGAATAGTTTGTGAGCGACTGCTAATAATAAATTTTCCATAAAGTGAACTTAGCCTGCGCTATGTGAACAAATAGACAAAAAATTCCACTGGTGCCTTTACCTTAGTTCTTTAATTTTTAATAAATTTTACCAAATACTTTTTTACCGAACTGTTAAAGAAAAACCAGATACCAGTGTATCTGAAATTGCATCGCACCTTAAAGAATATATGCTGAAGGAAATTCACCCTAAAACAGTATGAAGAGTGATCGATATCGGGCCGGATATAACAGTAAAGTTGCGAGGAAGAAACTCATAAGCAAAGTAAACAAAAAAAAGATTAAAATTTGCAGAACAATACATAAATGCTAGCGACAACTTCTGAAAAATCGTAGTATTTTTCGACAAATCTCAACAAAAGTGAACAAATTTTTAATAATAAACACGTTAAATTAGTACAGAAGCTTAAATGTCTAGGTTGTAAAACGTAAGTGTCAGATATACATACAGGTGACGCGGCAGTTAACGTTTTAACACATTCAACCCGACGTTGACCGGTAGTCCACAAACACTACATTCATCTTGCGGAGTCAACCACTTGTGGTGCACATCTAATCTTTATTATTATTATTGTTTCTATTATTATTAGCAGTGATTCAAACAAGTGTTGCCAGAAGAATAAACAAACTTTTTGTGGTAAACTAAACGCAGGACACTAATAACGAAAATAGCAGTGAGCCAAGCAAGTGCCGCCAGATGAATAGACTTCGAAAAAGTACGCTCGGTTGAACGTGTTAATGTCCGTCGTCCAAATCAATATATCAACAACAAAATCAAATTACGAAAAACAGTTTGTACACCGAAAAATATTGAACATTGCCGTTTCGACTCGTATACATTCTATAATAGTGTTCTAGTGTTCTAGCATTCTATACATGCTAGTTGTTCCTTTAACCCTTTACGTTCCTTAATCAGTTGTCTGTGGCGATCTTTTTGTAAAGCGCGCACCAGTGTGTGTCGCGATAATCAAGCGATGACGAGTTAGCTCTCTAGAATTTATGAATCCATCTCAAATCATTTACACTTTTTATTTGTTTATTTCATTTCTTGTTGACCTCTAAACATTTTAAACATATTATAATTTACGAATATAATTTAGTTTTCGCCAAAATTACAATTTAAATATCAAATTGTAACAAAATTTTACGCATGACGGATATAGTCGTCATGATACAAAATTCTGCCACATCTCCATGACGGATATAGTCGTCAAACACACTTAACTGGTTAATTTCTATTAGCTACCAACTCCTTCATTTACAAAATAAATAAAGAAAGGGATTCTGAAATAAATGTATTGCAACAGAGTGGGTTACATGACAAATATACTTTTCCTTTATTATAAATAGTAAATAAACGAAAATGTATATATTTAACCAATCTATTTATCTGAATTATTTATAAGATCCAAGAGAAATGTGATGTTGAGTCACACTTGAGGTAGGAGTACAAAGGGTTAAGGTTCCTTTTTAACCTAAGTTGAAGTGGGGTAAGTGCAGACTGGTTTTTGTAAAGTTGGTATTTAAACGTAAGTATTTTCAGTCTGCTATGTAAATACTTAACGCTGTCGATATCGAACGCTTTGCACAATTACTACTTTACACTTTCCCCGAAAATGGGGTAAAACCGTAACTTAAAGTTAAATACTTTGAAACTTTATTTCATGTGCAACGGGGAAGAGCAGAATTATTAGCAAATCTGCTATAAAATGCTTTTTACTGCATTATGTAAGTACTCTATACTGCAAACAAGTACTCTTATCTGAAATATAAAAGGGGCTATAGTGAAACAAAACAAGGAAACAAACATACTAAATGGAGTAATTTCGCTCATAGTGTAATAAAAATAGCCTGTATACGCACTTGCCCCGTTTACGAACTTACCCCACTTCACCTTACTATTACATTTTAATATTTTATGTACCCTTACAGAAAGAAGGAAATTTATTAAATCCTAAGCTTCGTCTTTTTTCTTTGTATAGTATTTTATAAAACAGTCACCAAGACCCTCGTGTCAGTGCAAGTAATATATAGTTCGATGTTCTTCCGGGACTTTTTCCTGGAGAGCAAACCTTGCAATCCTCCCTAACTCCCGTCAGAATAACACGTAGCTTTCCATTCGATCGAATTTCATCGAAAGTAGAGGTCGAAGTAGAAGCTCGATTCCGAGTCTGAAAATCTCTGAAGTGGTCAACCAAAGTTTTTATATACTTATTACTATTTATATTAACCAAAGTTATTACATACTTATTGTTTTACTTTTACTCGAACTTTGGCGAAAAATTTGAAATATTTCTATTACTACGTCTGGCAAGTTCGGACCAATGCTGAAAATTGTATTCGATTTGCGATCAGAGACTAATTTGAGGTACGAAATGCTCTTCTCTGCTCTCGAATATATTTTACTGTTTACAAAGAGCATTTTTAAAATTTGCAGATAAAAAATTGAAAGTAATGCTTTTGAAGTTATTCTACTAATAATTTCTACTATTGTCTGTTTCACTGTTTATAAATTACATATGTAATATTATAGAATTTTTTAGAAAATGTTTATTTTAAGTTATTGTATTAAATTAAATGACAATCGAATATCACCTCTCGAGTGGAAGGAGTTAAAAAATTTGCAAATTAAATAATTTTCTCGTTTGTATCCACACATCGTAGTCTTCATCCAAAGAATGCCTACGTTACACCTAAAACGTGGCATCAATTTGTAAAATTTGCATAATTTATAATTTATAACAATTATATATTACAATAATTGACATTGAAAGTTATAATCATTATAACAATGTTATAAATCATTACTACATAAATAAAAAGTACGTAAATAAATTGTAAATTATGAGACATCCTACATAAAATTTCGAACATCCATGTTCTTACATCTCGTTAGTTTGTTTATCACCGGTTCCAGGAAATGACGGAACTGACTGCTCGGCACTACGAAATGACTACTGCATATCGTGCACGTTCTAATTTCCCCTACTGTTCACGCTCATCCCCCTTCTTTCACACATTCTTCCTTTCTTTGCTCAGTCATTTACCCGCTCGTGCAGCTTCTTTTCGTTTACTCTTTTGTTAACTCGATCATCGTCCGTCCTCGTCGTTCGCATTCCTCTAATCTTCAGGTCGACTGACTCGTTTACTCGAGCTCGTGCTCCGTTCCCGTATTCCTTCTTTTTTCTTCTTTTCCCGGTTCGTCCCTCTTGGTCCGACTACGTTCCTCTCGCTTCCTCGAAGAATCGCTAACGGAGAACTATAGTAACCTTCGCCAGAACGATGGAGGCCGACTGTCAGTGGGACACACGCGTCGTGTTTTGTGCTGTGTCGCTTATGGCAAACCACGCTTATTCAGAACCACGCGACCGCAGAGTAAATGAGACCGAATCGATACATTTTGCAATTAACGATTAATTGGAAATATGATAAAATATTTTGTCGAATGTATTTTTTAACTGTAGATATCCCTAGGGGTTCGCGTAGGTCTTACAATTTTAAAATTAACTTTGCATCCCTCACTTTTTACTTTCATTTAAATAAATTTAATAAAAATTCTATGTGGTCACAATTTTTTTTTGTTACTTAACTAGTTAATAACTGAAGAATAATTAGAGAAAATTTAATTATTTTTATTCTACAAATAATGCAATTTTGATTTGTATTTTTCATTTCTTTTACTGCTATTTTTATTCTAAACTTATCAGTGTTTGATGATATAAAAAATATATAAAAGACTATGAAAATGTAATTGAAAAATGTATAAAAATCAATGAGAATGAAGTTGAAAAATATACAAACAAACAATGAAAATAAAGGAACAAAATATATACAAAAACAATGAAAATGAAATGGAAAAATATATAAAAAAATAATGAAAATGAAGTGAAAAAATATATACAAAGACAATGAAAATGAAGTTGAAAAATATATAAAAAAATAATGAAAATGAAATTCAAAAATACATAAAGAATGAAACAGTATTACTATACACATAAATTCTTTATCTTCATGAAAATCACCACAGAGGGAAACTTTAGCAAACTTTGTAACATAAAATAAGAAACTTGCAAAGCGGTCATTAGACCGCTTCGGTAATTTTAGTGTTAAATTAGGTTAGATTAGATTAATATCCTAGCTAGCGTGAAATCTTAATTGCACAAAGTTAAAATGGTATAAATACTATGATTGAAGTATTACATGACCTAATAAAATATAACTTAACCCAGCCTAATAACTTAATTACGTTATCCGCTTATTGATTAAGTTGGGTTAGACTAGATTAATATCCTCGCTAGTGTGAAATCATGGTTGTGCAAAGTTGAAATAGTGCAGATATTACGATTCGAGTATTATGTGATGCTATGTAAATAGCTGCAGCTATTTTATGAATTTGTTCGACTTTGCAGTCGTGTTTTGATTATTATCTGGCTTCAGTGATTATTATATGTCGTATTAGAAATACATAAAATGAAGTTATATGAATTTTTAGATATACACAAAAATTATAACAAATTAATCAATTTCTTAATTGCACGAAAAGTGATCCACAATGCTATAAATTGCATGAAGCAAAATGAAATTTGACCGAGAAAACTTAATATTTTCATGTTGTTCCTATATTAAAAATCGGAATAAAAACGTTTCGAAGTACCGTGCAATTTAAAGATTGCATACAAAAATTCTCGGTTTGAATAATCCCGCCTTCCTGTCCAAAATGTCTGCCGTTTGATTGGATACTTAATGCTCACGCCACGACAAATTTTTCTATAAAATGAATTATCTAATCTATCATCAAAATAGTTGTGACTGGGAAAGTTTTTGTTATGCGTTTTATGGATGGAAAAATCTCAGTCCAAGTCAGAGGTGAAAATGTAATAGTGGAAATTGACGAGACAAAAATAGGAGAACGTAAATAAAATAAAAAACGTCTTAGTGGACGATGGATTTTTGGCGACGTTGAACTAACAACTAGACGTTTATTCATTGAACCAGTTCCGGATAGGTCCGAGCCTTTACTCCGTATAATTAGAAAATGGACTAAACCTGGTTCTACAGTTATATCAGATCGATGGAAATCTTGTAATTGCCTCGATGAAGAAGGATGTAAACATTTAACTGGGAACCACAGGATGAATTTCATCGATCTAGATAGTACACATACTCCAAACATCGAACGTTGTTGGCGCGAAAGAAGAGCCAATGTTCCACGATGTGGAATCCGGAAAGAGCATTATATGTATATTGCTGAATGTTTGGGAAGTATGATTTCAGTATAAGAATAATTGTCATTTTTGATACAATGAAAGATATTTTTCCAATTTTTATTGGAAGGTTAACTCATATGTAAAATTATTTTTGCAAATATCTTGAAAACAAGGAACTAATTGTGGTAATATATAGGGTGGCTCACCACATTTTGTCATCTAAATTTGCGTCATTATTATTACTCATAGCAAACAATGTTTTAGATGAAGTTGAATGGTTTTGAGGGGGGCATATGCTGGTGGTATATTTTCTTTTGTAGGTGGACGTGTAAAGGACATATGAAGGTCATTAATGTTTTTTTAAATGGAATCATATATTTTTTATTGCATTAGCTGATACTCCTTCATATTCTTTACAAAAAAGTATTAATCTATTTATGTGAAAAAATCATTAGTTTAGGGAATATTTTAATTTTAATGTCTATTTGCAGAAAAGGTTCAATGTGGCAACCATATACATCAGAACACTTTCTGAATCGAGAAATTAATGACTTACTAACATTCCGTAGTGTATAATCTTTCTGCATGTGTAGCACTTTTCCCAGCTTCAAAATAAACTGATAACATGTCTATCTTTTCTTCTTTAGAATACTTCATTATGAAGTGATAATTCACCGTATCGTCGTATTCATCGTATTAGAGAAGTAACAGAGACAAAATTTCACTGTTCTTGCGTAACCAAAAAAGAAAACAAAAATTCACAATTCCTTTGGTGACTCATAACCTCTCAAAGCATGTAAAAAAACATTTGCTGTTCAGTTAGGGCAATTCATAATATTGACCAGAAAGTCACGATTTCCTAACAAGTTAGAATTAAAATATCTCCTAATCTAATGATTTTTCACATAAATAGACTAATACTTTCTTGTAAAGAATATGAAGGAGTATCAGCTGATGCAATCAAAAATTGCATCAAAAAATTGCGGTTATTAACAAAACATTAATAACCTTCATATGTACTTTACACATCCACCTACAAAAAAAAATATACCGCCAGCATATGCCCCTCTCAAAACCATTCAACTTCATCTAAAACATTGTTTGCTATGAGTAATAATAATGACGCAAATCTAGATGGCAAAATGTGGTGAGCTACCTGTATATGGAGAAAAAATGTTCAGTAACCTTGATTACATACTTCATCGTCATTAAAATTGGTGAGAAATAGCTGAAGTAAATAATTAATTCTTTCTAGATGCTGTAAATGTAACACTAATTAGTTACAATACTTAAGAGGAACAGAATCCTTTTACTTAAGAGGAAAAGAGTCCTTTTTCGGAGCTGTAGGAAGTATACTCTTCGTATCAGTTTCAAAAGGTACATCGTGTCGAACACGTAGCACTTATCACATCAAAAAGACCGCCGTTGACACTTGTTCGAGCACGGTCTTCATCTGCAGATCACTAAAGTAAGCGTTGCATCTTAACCTCTTAGGCACGGCTGAACTTTACGTGGCGCTGCCTCTCTATACGGCAGAGATCGAAAATTACTCGTAAGCAGCACTACAATGTGTGACAATGCTGTTCTAGCCGAGTACATTGGAAAGAAGTTTTTGATGATTAAATTATAACTTTTCCTAAAGATATGATATACTTTAACTTCGATAATTTACTTTTTTAGAAAATTCACAAAATATGTAATTTCCAAATGTTTCCAATATCGTGTAGTAGTGCAAAGAGGTGCTTCCACGGTGTTTAAATTACTTGGTTACCTTTTATTTACATGTAATGTACTTTTGTGGGATTTGTTAATACTCTTATAAAACGTGGTGAGGGTAAAAAAGAAACATACGAAAAGGATCGTTCAATTGAAACGGTGGGCGAGTGAGTTAGTAGAGCGAGCCACTATAGTGGCGCTATGTAATGTACGATGATATTCGCAGAGTTACTTGTTACATTGTGTTTACAAATTTCGTGTGTGAATTCACCATAATGACAAAGTTAATTTGAGTTAATTTCAGATAATTTAAAATAATTTTTAAGGATCGTAGACAATGTTAAGTAATTTTAAATAATTTCAAATTTTAAGTAATTTTAAGTAATTTCGAATAATATTATGTAATTTTAAGACGTTCTGAATAATTTTTAAAAACCTTAGACAATTTTAAGTAATTTCAAGATGTTCTGAATAATTTTAAATAATTTTTAAGAATCATAGATAATATTCAGTAGTTTCAAATAATTTTAAGCAATTTTGAACAATTTTGAGTAATTTTCATCCGAATCCATGAAATTGCCACTTTTATCTACATTAAAATTATGTTTGCAAATTTTTCCAGACATCAATCGCGACGACCATTAAAAGTGTACTGGCGTACTGTGAAAACACTAATTTCAATAATAATGAAGATAATTATGGAAAACTTTCACTGTGTTATCTCGGACCGATCAAATAAGTATACAGATCCTCAAAACCTTCAAACAGTAATAACCTAAATTATTAAATCTTTACGTGATACATTATTTAAAATCAACAGTTCTAAATGAGAATACCTCAAATTGACGTCACGTTTTAAAGTTTCAAACATTCAACTAATTATTCGAATAAATATTTATCTTACGGTAGAAGATATAAATCTTATCAATTTTGTATTACTACATAACTTTTAAATTATTCAACTTTTACGTCTAAAATATATATACGCAGAAAAATTTCACGGTGTTTACATATTATTTTATTTAACTTAGAATGCTTTTAATAAATTTTATTCAATTTTTACTTAAAATATAATTATTATAATAATGTAGACGTGGGATGTGAAATTTTGGAATTTGGGGATTCATGGATTTGGGGATTTATGGATTTAGGGATTTAGGGATTTGGGGATTTAGGGATTTGGGGATTTGTGGATTTAGGGATTTATGGATTTAGGGATTTATGGATTTAGAGATTTGGGGATTTGGGGATTTGGGAATTTAGAGATTTAGGGATTTGGGGAATTAGGAATTTGGGGATTTGGGGATTTAGGGATTTAGGGATTTGGGGATTTGGAGATTTAGGGAATTAGGGAATTAGGGAATTTGGGGATTTGGGATTTTAGGGATTTGGGGATTTGGAGATTCGGAGATTTAGGGATTCGGTATTGAGGAATTCGAGATCTAGGAATTTGGGATCGAGGGATTTGAAAATGTAAGAACTCGGAATTTAGAGACTCAGAATCTAGAAATTTGGGATTTTGGGATTTGAAATCTAGGGATTTGGGGACCTAAGAATTTTAAATTCAAGGATTCGAAATCAAGAATTTCGAGATCTGTGAATTTGAAATTTAGAAATTTGGAGATCTAGGGATTTAGAACTTGGGAATTCGAAATCGGGGAATTCGTGATCTAGGGATTTAAAATTTAGAGTTTGAGATATATAAATTTTGTAATTTCAAGATACTGAACTTATTGTTAGAAATTGAAGAATTTGGGATCTAGGGATTTGCGTTCTCGAGACTAGAACTTTTTAGAACCAGAACTAATACAACATTCCTAGGATCACAAGATCTTCCGCATCTGTCACGAATGCAACATTTCGAACGTTATCATGTAGTAACATCGGTAAACGATACTCCAAAGATCATTCCGCGGAATCTTGAGAGGATAGAAATTTGGGACATCGCTGTGTGTGGCGAAACGCGCCACAGACATTCAACGACCGTTGAAAATCGATCGAGATTGGCATAGCAATTACCGCCTCGATTGCGCTTCCATCCGCGATAGTGATCACGCGCAGAATGCCGTGCAAGCGTTCGTCAGTCATCCTTTGAAACATCAAATGACCGAATCATTCTGCGCTCTTAATGCATATTCCAGATTAGATCCCTTTTTAGTTTTTTACGGGGATCTAGCCAACTCCGTGTCGACTTTGAGGGCCTCATGCGGAGAAACTGAGAAGCTTGTTCTTGTTTATTCTGCATTGAGTTGCACGAAGGAAACAAAAACAGCAGACATTTTGTTATTCGAAAATGCGATTTCAGTGTACCGAGAATTTTAGACGAAAATGAAATTTTCTTCGTGCTTTCTTTCTTGAGGATCAAGTTTGGTGAACCAAGAATGGTTGAATACTTCAAGTATGATTTTTTAAGAATTTTAGGAATCTCGAGTGGAAAATTGATACGCTCTGATTATCTTTGTTTATTTTAACAAAGACAAGTATTTACTTCAACATATGTCAAGTTCCTAGATTTCCATATCCCAGATCTTCAAATCTCTAAATCCTCAAATTCCTGGATCCTCAAACTGTACCCTCATATTCCTAAATCCCCAAATCACAGAACACTCAAATTTGATATGTCATCAAATTTCGAGGTCCCTAAATTTCTAGGCTCTCATGTCCCTAGATTCCCACATCTCTATACTCCAAAATAGAAGATCTCCAAATACTTATGCCTTCAAATTCCTAACACCTCAAATTCTTATACTAAATTCTCATATTTTCAAATTATAAATCCCCAAACTCTCAAGCTTCTATGTTTCTAAATTTCTGAACCCTCAATTCCCTAGATTGCCATATCTCTGTAACCCTAAATCCAAAAATTCTCAACATTACAGAGGCCGGTCTTGCAATTTCGCTTTTAAAACTTTATAACGAACGAATGCATATACAATGTGACTTCAAAATGTTAACGACCGACAGCATATAGAAACATTTTTAAATTCCTGAACCCGCAATTACTAGATTCCTATATCGCTGTATCCCTAAATCCAACAATTCTCAAATACGTATAACCCGAAATTTCTAGGTCCTCAAATTCCAGCTCAAAATTGACTTTGAAGACCTCCTGCGGCGAAACAGGAAAGCTTCGAGCGATCCTTGTTTAATCTGCGTTGCTTTGTGCAACAGCGACAAGAACAGTATATTTTTTGCTATTCACAAATGCAACTTTGTTGTTCCTAGAATTTCAGGCGAGAAAGCAATATCTTGTTCTTTCTTCTTTGAAACATTCTTTATACATATAATGATGGAGAGTGTCACAGAATCCGATTTTGCAATGTCGCTTTTGAAAACCATATACACATACATTTTTA